AAGGAGGAGGCAACAATACTTGATAAGAAATGTACTCACTATCTTGCCCATGTGATTGTAACCCTTCTGTACGGTATTTCCACAATTTTAAAAAAAAGACCCTATGTCGAAAAATGAACTTTACAATTTAGGCAGGAGTGTAGTTGTGGAGATGGGAGGGAAGGGCTGGTAGGGGAAAAACAAAGGAGGAGGCAACAATGTATGATAAGAAATGTACTCATTACCTTGCTCATGTGATTGTAACCTCTCTGTACAGTATTTTCACAATAAAAAACTTAAAAAAGATATTAATATCAAACTAGTTGACATTTTCCAAGTTGTTAAGCATCTTAAATCAAATGATTGTTTTCATAAGTTGAGGAGTGAAAAGTTAGTTGTAAAACTAAGTTTGAGAGTCTATGTAAATATGCAGTTTTTTCAATGAGTTCCTTCTGTCTCTCCAGGAAGAATGAAGCAACTATAAAGTAAGAAGCACACCACAATTTATAGGCAATTAGAATGCATGCAGTTATAGATACTTTTACTTTTTTACTGTCTAGATTGTTGGTACTTTTTTATTTACAGTTTTTATTTCATTTTATTAAAGAAAATTGGAGCTGAGGGATCCATTTTTGTTCCAATTATAAAGTAATATGCTGTGATTCTACAGTATGCTTTAGAATTTAAAAACCTTAAATATAGAGATCACATAAATTATTAACTAAAACAAGTATTAAGGGAAATACTTTTATGTTAATTTATAAACATTTTATTTACTGCTGTCATCACTTTTTCATACTTTAATCTTAATTCTATTAGACTTCAGGAAAGAGTGTTTGATAATGGCTTGACAATAAATTTATAAATAATATGGTAGTTATTCTGGTGACAATCAAACACAATGAGAACCAGAGTTCTGCTTGTTTTCCTTCATAATTTTGTGTTTGTCACATAAAAAGATGAGAGTTGAAAAGGATGAATTTATGTATGTGAGAGTTGGCATAGGGAATTGAACTCAACATTAGTGTTGGGCTGCAATATCTAAACCACACAGAACAAGTCACCATGAGCAAGTGGAATGCTGTCACAGAACATTTGCCTAACATGTGACATCCCAGGATTGATCACTAAGCCATGCAAAACCCAATAACAATAAAAGTAAAACATGTAAACATCAAGGAATCTCAGATTTCTCATCAATATTACTAACACAAAGAGCAAGATATCCATTATTTTCTTATGTGAGTATGACTGTCATTGCAGAATGTTTCTCAGCTATGATCAGGTCTGAATATATATGAATTGGAATGCAAACTTAGCATGAGAGCAATATATCTTTTTTGGGGGGGGAGTGTCCAGTCGTGGGGCCTGAACTCTGGGCCTAGGCGCTGTCCCTCAGCTCTTCAGCTCAAGGCTAGCTCTCTACCACTTGAGCCACAGCACCACTTCCGGCTTTTTTCTTTTTGCTTATGTGGTGCTGAGGAATCGAACCCAGGGCCTCAGGCATGCAAGGCAAGCGCTCTACCACTGAGCCACATCCCCAGCCCGGCAATATATCTTTTGAAGTACATTTAGGAGCTAAAAACCTAAGTGGTTAAAATGACTTACCTTTAGCCAGGCTCTGGTTAATGACACTTGTAATCCTGGCTACTCAGCAAGCTGCTAAGATCTGAGGATGGTGGTTTATAGCTAGCCCAGGCAGAAATGTCTGTGAGACTCTTATCTCCAATTAATCATCAAACAGCTAAAATTGGCTCAAGTGGTAGAGTGTCAATCCTAAGTGAAAAAGTCAATTGAGAGCTGAAGGCCCTGAGTTCAAGCCCTAGTACTGGCATCAGTGGGGGAGGAAGGAAGGAAGGAAGAAAAGGAGAGGGGGAGAGGGACAGAAAAGGAGGGAGAGAACTTTAGAAATATCTAATTATAAGTAAATATGATGTACAAAAATTCAAATAATTCAAAATTATGCCTCTCTAAAAGTTAGAACTTTTTATTTTATTAGTTAATTTTTTTGGCAGTACTAGGATTTGAACTCAAGATCTGTGCTCGCTAGGTAGACATTTTTACCAGTTGAACCTTGGCCCCAGCATAGAAGTTAGAATTTAATATACTTTATACTTCCAGGTGCTGCAGTGTGGTAGAAGTTTCAGGGTGAAAACTGAGTCCTGTGATTTCACTTGGTGTCTATACCGATGCTACTCAAATTACTCTGTCCAGTTCTGTGCAGTTCCCTGACCTTTGCTGTGATATCCCAAGTGTTCTTCCCTGTGACTAGGACCACAACTCCTTTCTTCCAGTCACTTGGCTTTTCTGTGCAGGCATCAATCCCCCCCTCATATCCAAGACCTTCTCATTAGTACATGCTAATTTGTCCTGCTGTATCAAAGGATTTCCAGAGCCATCCACTTCTGTCCATCTCCCCTACTAGTGAACTAAGCTGCCTGCTTTCAGCTGTGTACTAAATGCAGTATATTCCTCAGCCAGAAACATTAAAATGCCCTTCCCTCCCCAGCCAACTCATTTATCTGGGCTCCTTCAGTGGCTTTTTGTTTTGATAAAATCCAGGGTCTTATGCAGTCTACAAGGTCCTGCACAGTCTGACCCTGGACACCTCTCTTCTTCATTTCCTCTCTTCGTGACTTTAGCTTTCTTTAGCTGTATCGTTCCTCAAAGAGAACCTAGTCTCCGTGTACCCCAGGGCCTTTGTGCTTGCTCTTTCCTCTGAAGTGGCGGCCTCCTTACGTATTCAGCTCTGCGCTTTTGTGACCGGGGAGTCCATCTTTGACAACTCTCTGGAAAGTACAACAGTTCACTGCTGTGCCCCTCTTTTGTCGCAGGTGGCATGTGCGTTCCCTCATTTCTGACGTGCTCACTTGTTATCTAAGTGTAAGCTAGCATGGAACCTCCATGGCCTGACTTGCTGTTCTGTTTTGTGTTTATAGCCTACCTGTCTTAAATAAGAAAGTCCTGAATTTGTGTCTAGTGAGTGAACACTATGTTTTAAATGTTGGTTCTACTGGAATTAGTTACTTCCTATGTTCTTTCTTTTAGACATTCATTCTATCAAGTCCATCATTACACTTAACCTTGAGGTATTGATATATTGATGAAAGTAACACAAAGTCTTTCATTTTTAATACTTTGTATTTGTTATCTTTAAAAGCTCAATGCAAGCCAGGCGCTAGTGGCTCACGCCCTGTAATCCTAGCTACTCAGGAGACTAAGATCTGAGGATTGTGGTTCAAAGCCAGCCTAGGCAGGAAAGTCTGTTACACTCCTATCTCCAATTAACTCCTCCCCCCCCCCACCCCACACACACAGAGCCAGAAATGGAACTGAGGCTCAAGTGTTAGTGTTAATCTTGAGCAAAAAATGCCCAGGGATAATGCCCAGGCCCTAAGGTTATATCCCAAGACCAACACCAATAAAACAATAATAATATTAATAATAATAATATAATAATGCCCAATACATACTTTATCTGACTATGTACAGTAATAATCTAGATTTGAGTTTCTAGGTATTTTTTTCTTTTTTGGATTTTCCCGTGTGTGTGTGTGTGTGTGTGTGTCTGTGTGTGTGTGTGTGTGTGTGTCTGTGTGTGTGTGTGTGTGTGTGTGTGTGTCTGCAATGATCTGGTTTTCAAATCCAGTTAAGTATCAAGAAGAGATTTTTCTCTACAGAATTAATTTACAACCAATTTTGATTGCTTCCAATACCATAACACATAATTTTGAAAGGAACTGGTGGTGGTATTTTAACTTTTTTCTGTCTTAACATTTCAAAAGTGCTTTTCTTTCTTATTTATAAACCTCTTTGCAAATAGTGTTACATCCATTACCATAAGAAGTCTCATAGACACTTCATGTATAGACATACTTAAAATCAGACTTCTATTGATTTTTTAAAAAAGGACTTGTGCCACAGACCACTCCATTAATTGAAATATTCCTTTTCTCTTTTATGTCAGCTTGAGACATACCTCTTTCTTCTTTTCTTTTCTGATAGGAAATTTCACTGTAACCCAGATTCCTGGTTCCCCTCAGGTAGAGATACTCAGTATACTTTATCAGCATTTAGTTGTTAACTATCATAGTTGTCTCCTTTGAAATACCTAGTGAATGGAAAATCACTGTGTGTGAATATGACTGAAGGATATATAGACCATGCATCCGACATCACAGACTTTATAGAGAAAAACAGGAGCAATGAAAAGAATTGATATCTAGTGTGTGGTTTCTGGGATATTATGATGCTAGAATAATGTTAGTGTTTTGTTGTTGTTGTTTTTAAGAGCCTCAAGTCAGCGATCATCTATAGAAATTTATTGGCCATTGTTCAAAGAAACATATGTTTGTTCTTTGTATTTATTTTTAATCAGATGTGGATTTCCAAGCCAAAGATGCCACATTCAGCCATCACTTTTCATCTGATGTAGAAGAGCACTTGATGAGAATGCATGAAAGCCCTCAATTAAATAAGCCCTAAAGTATTAGAGCAGTGTAAATTATCCTTTGTGCTTTAAACCTTGCAAACATGGCCTTGTTTGTCAGTTTTTGAACCAGGGTGAATCTTTCCAATAAACCTGGGCATTTAAATACAGCATAGGTACTTATAAAATAGATGATTGTGGATTATCATTCTTCACTGCTTAGAGAAACTTGCTCCAGTGCATTCAACACGTCACCCAAGAGTTATTATTTCTGTCATAAGAATAAACTGAAAGTGTTGGTCGGTTTGTTTGGTTCTGCCAAATACAAACTGGATATTGAAGCCATTTTCCAAAAAAAAAAAAAAAGGACCCTCTGGAGTGCTCGAATTAAAAATGTCTAAAATATTCTGATTGAAAATTATTGATGTGCTGACTGCAGGATGTCATCAATGATGAATGCAGGAGACATTGCTTGCATATTCGGAAGAAGCTAATGTTTCACTGACTATGAAATCACTTGTCTTTTTGACCAAAAGAAGATTTACTTTGTACATATTATAAGCTAGAATTTTTTTTTTTTTGTCATCAACAGGTTTGGCAAACATCGAAAAGATGACAAGATGGAGAAAACTGGTAGACTAAAAATCCAAGACTCCTTTACTTCCGAAGAGGAGAGGATGCAGATGAAGCAGGAGCAGGAGAGGTAGACCCAGCTACTTGATTAAGCCTCCCTCCACGGAGGCTCTTTCCTTCCTTTCTACTTTCTTTTTATACAATGTAAATATTTTTCATTCACTTGCATTTTCTGTGTCAATCCAAATACTCATGGTTGTGAGGTGAACATAGTAAAAATATTTTATATTTATTGGAGCATAAGAAGTAGACTTAATGTTTTTAGTTAAGATCTTTTAAATAGGTGATAAGAAAGTACATTAGCTGAATATATATATACATACATACATATATATATACATATATATATATATATATACATATATATATATTTCTGTGCCAGTTCTAGGCTTGAATTTAGAGTCTGGGCATAGTCCTTGAGCTTTTGTGCTGTAGGCTAGTACTCTACCACTTGAGCCATGGCTCAACTTCCAGCTTTTTTGTTAGTCAAGAGTTAATTGAAGACAGGCTTTCCTGTCTGAGCTGGCTTCAAACTGTAATCCTCAGATCTCAGCCTCCTGAGTAGCTAGGATTGTAAGTGTGAGCAGTCAGCACCCAGCTAAATTTGTGATTATTTTAAGAATTATAAAAATTAAAATCCTGTCACTAATCTATTATACATAATGTATAATACATAATATTATATACTATATAGTATATACTATATGCTAAGATTACATGTTAGATAATTACATATATATGATTTATGTGTAATATACAATATATTTGTACTATATAATACCTAATTATTAAAACATATAGTATGTCTTAGTAATTTGTAACACTATTTATCTGGTAATAAAAGTGTTTGAATTTTTCTATCTCATCTTGAATGTTTTGGTTAGCAATCAGACTTCTAAGCCCTTTGTTTTTCACTATTATGCTTTTTTTCTTTACGATGTGGCATCTGCTCTCCTTCCATGTCACTGTCTGCACGTTTTGTGACATTTTCCATTTACTTTTTCTAGAATGAAGTGTGTCTTCTAGAAGGATTGTTATCATGTTGAAATATTCCATATTGAGAACCCAAAGACTAGTGAAATGAATTAATAGAGTTACTTTAAGCAGCCCCGATAAGGCGTTTTCGTAAGTGGTGAGAGTTTTTCTCACTAGATTTCCAGAGGACTTCTGTGGATGCTAGGGAGATCGTCTGTGGCCTGGTGTTTCATATTCAAGGGCACGGTGCCCATTTCACTTTGAGTAATCCAGGTACCTTGATCAGGGTGAAAAAACAAACAAACAAAACAAAACATCTTGTCTAGACCTCGTCAGTAAGCCACACCTTGGCTGTCAAGTTCAGTCTTTTATAGCAAATTTAGAGATGGGATACTTTAAAGAAAATAGTTTGGATTTTTTTTCACTTTTTGGGTGATTTGGTTTTTTGTTGTTATTGGTGGTGGTCCTGGGGCTTTAACTCAGGGAGTGGGCACTGACCCTGAGCTCTTTTGCTCAAGGCAAGTGCTCTATCACTTTGAGCCACAGTTCCATTTCTGGTTTTCTGATGGTTAATTGGAGATAAAAGTCTCGTGGACTTTTCTGCTCAGGCTGGCTTTGAACCACGATCTTCAGTAGCAGCCTCCTGAGTAGCGAGGGTTACAGGCATGAGATACCAGAGCTCAGTCTTCACTTACTTTTCTCAGCCTTCACTTATTTTTCTAAATACTTTTGAGAGCTTTAGCTTTTGTTTGCCTCTTAAGTAGAATGTGATTCTCTGTAGTTCTTCATGGTACAAAAATGTACACATGGGAATAGTATACAATTTTAGTTTATGATGCCAACTTGGGTTTATTCCTCTGGTTCCTCCCCAGTTCTCATTTTTATTTCTTGATCTATTTATTTGAAACCCAAGCCTCATGCTAGACAAGTGCTCACAGAGCTGAAACTACATTTCCACATCCAATTGACTGATTGCCTACTCTGGGGCTTGAACTGAGAGCCTGTGCTCTGTCTCTGAGCTCTTTTTGCTCAAGGTTAGTACTCTACCACTTGACCCACAGCTCTACTTCCACATTTTGGTAGTTAATTGGAAACAAGAGTCTCATGGACTTTCCTGCCCAGGCTGGCTGAGGATTGTGGTTCAATCCTCAGATGAGTCTCCTAAGTATCTAGGATTATAGGTGTGAGCCGCTGATGCCCAGCTTTGGTTTTTATTTTTTAAAAAGTATTATACCTTGTTGGGAAGACTCAGTCTGATCATCCCTCACCAATTATGAGATCCTCAAGCACATTAATTAGCTTGATATTTTTAGGTCAAGGTATATAGTGATTCTTAATGTCTACAATATAGATTTTAAATACTCAAAACAATAAACTTCTGAGTTTCCTTTCTGTGGATTCTTTGTTTCCCATTTATTAGCATATACCAATTAACAAAATAACAGTTTGATTGTGACATTTTCATACGTACACACAATGTTATTTGATAGCATATGCCCCCTTTATTTTCCTCTATTCTCTCTGCTCCTCTCGTCCTATTCCTTTTCCCTAGCAGTTTCCATTTCATTTTCATGCTAAAGGAGTTTCTGGTCCCTAAAAATAAGCATACCAAATAAATGCATGAACTCAGATTTATCCACAGGCAAACCTCTCATTTAGTTACAGAGCATTTAGAACAACAGAAACATTCTACTTCCATCTCTTGAAATCTGCCAAAGGCCATTAATTCCATTAATCCTGAAACATTTTTCATATTGTAAATATTCCTGCTTTGCAGGTTAAGGTGACTTCTGGGTTTCAATGCAGAATTCTATCAACATTTTTCAGAATACTTTTATAATGCATATTCAAATATTTCCAGCCATACAATGGTTTCATGTGTATTATGAATTTGCCTGAGGCACAGTTCACTCCTGATTTTAGCTTTTAATCTCCTTCTCTGTACCTCTAATGATGAAATACTTCTGAGAACTAGGTTGGTCATTATGAATTTACAATGTGCACGAGGCCTAGAATAAAAAGTCTTTTAGGGTCAAAGAACAGTGACTGGTCCATTAAAAAATCAATTAGGCTCATAGTTTAAGAAAATTACTGTACTTTGTATTTTTATACCAATTCTTATAAGTATGTTTTATTTAAACTCTTAGATTGTACAATAGAGCAGATGGATACATGAAACTCACTGAGGTTCATGGATGGTTAGTGCTTGTGGTTTTGATCTAAGGCTATTCTATGTTTGGCCTTTGGCATTAGCACTGTTCCTTCTGAAGACAGAAACTATAACTTCCTTGGGAAAAATTTAGTTGGAAGAATAGATAAAAGTAAATACTCACTTTTGTATTTTCAATGTGGCCTTTCCCTCTTTGCTGACTCGTAGTGAAACATTTCCTCTATGCCATTATTTTCCACTCAAGTATTAGAGTTTCAAAAATTATTCTGGCTGATTCTACATAAAAATAGAAAACTTGACATTCCTTAGTTATGAGTTATGACATGTCCCCAGACCATAATATTTTCTTGCCCACACACATCTGACCAGCCTGAATATTACTTGAGAGATAAATATTGAAAAGTTGAAAGGGCCATGACTCTAATTTAAAATGTTTTTCCTACAATGTTAAGATTTATTCTGATGGTGAAAGTAAATGAGATGCTCCCTAGCCTGGGACTGAGATTAAGTTTGGCTTCATTCTTTCTAACATCTTCCTTTTTTGTTTTTGTTTTTTACCAGCTTCTAACCCTGGGAGCTTGGGGCTTGATTTGATGTGGTCCAAATAAAAGCAATAGATGAGGAAGAGCTTCGTCGATCTGTCTCTGTTTCTCTCTGTCTCTCTGTCTCTCTGTCTTGCTCTCTGTCTCTCTGGCTGTATCTGTCCCTGTCTCTGCCTCTCTAGCTCTCTCTCTCTCTCTCTCTCTCTCTCTTTTTCTCTCTCTCCTAGTTCTACCTATACAAGCTTAGCCTGTGTGGTTCAAGTCTCTTCCTAAGGGAAGGGAGTCTGGGATGATGACAAGGGTAAAGTTAACTGTTCTTGAGATGTATATATATATATATATATATATATATATATATACACACATACATATATATATATATATATACACACATACATATATATATATATGTATGTATATATATTGGGTGGAGAGGTCCGGTCATGGGGCCTGAACTCTGGGCCTGGGCACTGTCCCTCAGCTCTTCAGCTCAAGGCCAGTGCTTTACCACTTGAGCCACAGTGCCACTTCCAGCTTTTTTCTTTTTGCTTATGTGGTGCTGAGAAATCGAACCCAGGGCCTCATGTATGCAAGGCAAGCGCTCTACCACTGAGCCACCTTCCCAGCCCCAGAGATGTATATTTTAACTTCTGGTTCTGATCCCTGAAGTTAGGTACCCTGGTTGTTTCTGTTGGAGATCAGCTGGGCCCCTAAGGAAGAGTGTGAAGGTAGCACTCACTGCCTATTTTGGCTCTTCTTTCTGGCAAGCCTATCTCAGGACAGCATCTCTGTTTGGCTCATTTCCACCGAATAAACAATTTGGGTTCCAAAATGAAAACAGAATGTGTTTGATAGGATGATTTTGATATGTCAAGTCCACCAAGCTTCCATTGTGAAGCAGTAACCAACCTGTTTGACTGAGCATCAGAAGTAGTGTGTGATCTATTGTATTTTCACTTCAGTAATATTTCCATTAATGTTTAAATAATAGTTTAAAGCCAGGTGCCAATGGTTCACACCTGTAATCCTAGCTACTCAGGAGGCTGAGATCTGAAGATCATGGTTCAAAACCAGCCCAGGCAGGAAAGTCTATGGGACTCTTATCTCCAGTTAACCAACAGAAAACCAGAAGTGGTGCTGTGACTCAAGTGGTAGACCACTTACCTTGAGCTGAAGAGCTGAGAGACAGCACCCAGGCCCAGAATTCAAGTCCCACAACCAACTAAAAAAAAGGGGGTTCCCACTGTTGCATGCAGCAACAGAAAAGGGTTCTGTGTATAAGTGTGTTTGAAAACTGTTTGAACCAATTTATGCCTATTTTACTCTCCTGTTTCTCAATGTCTCAATTAACTTAACATCCATTGTGAATCACCAAGATAGGAG